GGCCCCACGAGGCTTGGCCTGGCCCGGCCGGCGACTCTCGTGGGCTGCCCTTCCAGCCTGAGGCTGGTGACGTCGGGCTACAGTTAACGTGGACGCGGGCTGGGGAAAGGGCCGCCCTCGCTGTCCGTGGGGTGGAGGTTCTGGGGCCGGCTCAGCCGCTGCCCCGGGGTCGGGAGGGTGGCAGCCCGGCCCAGGCGAGTGCCCGAATTCTCTGCCGGTAGAGGCGGGGCGGCCCGGGGCTCGGTGGGCTCGAATCCTGGAGGCACCTGTCTTCACCTGCTCACTTCACCGCCGACACTCAGCACCCTGTGCTCCGCACAGCGGAGTCTGGTGGAAAAACGGACACCCAGAAGCCAGAGACACGTTTAAACCCCAGCTCTGGAGCATTCTTCCCGGGAACTTAGAGATGTGGTGGGATGGGGCAATGCCCCATGGATGCTTTAGAGAGAAGAGGGAGGGTTATTCCTTCACTTTTTCATAATCTGCTTCTGCGCCCCATTCCTGGTCTTTGAAATTCCAGAGACTTATGCGACCCTCACTTCCTCTCTGAGATCACATAGAACTCCCAGACTCTTCTGCAGTGTAGGGGCGACAGGACCAAGAAGTATTAAGTCATGAGTCCAATTGCATTGTGTGCTTTTTGTTTCTGGAGCTCTACACAATGTTTATGTGTGTGTAATAATACATTTCATGTTAAAATATGTATAAATGTGTGTGTGTGTGTGTGTGTGTGTGTGTGTGTGTATTTCTATGGTCTCCGCCACTGGAATACAAATTTCAGGATGCAGGACTGTGTCCATTTTGCTCATTATATCTAGTGCTAACACCCTGCCTGGTGTATGGTAGGTATTCAGTGAATTCAGGAATTTTCCTGTCTTATGTGTCCTTACTTCTCTGGAATGGGAAATTCTACAGAAACCATTGTTTTCAGAGAACTAAGCATATGTTGTTGTAGTGTCTGGGAATTTGTCCAATGTCCAGGAGAGCAGTTTTAGTAACATATGCTAGCCCAGAGGTTTCCAGAACAGGGATCTCAGAGGAGGCCCTCCCACCCACACATTAAACTTCCACTTTATAACAACTTTGTGTATTTGGTTTTTAGATGAGATTTAAAATATTATTCTGCTTCTTAGAAAGAAACCTCAAACAACAGAATCTACTCAATTTGAAAACTAGTAACCTTATGCATATAAACCAGTAACCTTTGCCATCTGCTATGCACAGAGTTGTTTCAAGGGACAGATAATTAGCAAGTCTCTGAGATTATAAAGCCCAGCAATGCAGTCACAGATTTAGAGCAGATTTCTCAGCACTCTTGGCATTTGGAGTGAATCTGTCAGTGCATTGTAGGACATTCAACATCCCTGTCCTCTAGCACTGGCTGCCAGTAACACTACCACCATGTGACAACCACAGTATCTCCGGATATTGCTAAATGTCACCTGTGTGCAAAATCCCCCTTTCCAACCTCCTACTGGGGTTAAAAGACACTGGTTTAGAGTGGTTTAATAAATTCATATAAGTGAGACATTGGAACTGTTGGTGTTTTTCTTTTAAAAATTGCCAATAAAGTCAATCTTTAGTGACAGTGAGTCATCATTGTGCATGGTACTTGTCTTATGCTGTAAATTAGTGATTCAGGGTGGATTGAGAGTGTTTGTCATCACCAGAACACTGCACTGGGGGATTTGAAGCTCAAATTTTAAAGATTCTCTAACCTGCTTTCTTTTCTTTCTTTTTTTTTTTTAATATTTTTTTAGTTGTTGGACCTTTATTTTATTTACTTATATGTGGTGTTAAGAATCGAACCCAGTGCTTCACCCAAATGAAGCAAGTGTTCTTTCACTGAGCCACAATTCCAGACCCATCTTATCTGCTTTCTTATATGTTGGCTGTTATTTGTAGCTGCTGTAGCAGAGAGATGACAGCTGTCTCTTAACTGTCAGTTGTTAGCACCTTTTAATTTGCAGCCTCTGATATGTTGTGGAATGGGAAAGCAGATAATGAAATTTGTGAAAATTTTATGAGTAGAATAAATAGCTTTGAGAAGAGGCCCAAGGGTGTTAGTAAAGAAAGAAGTTGTATAGATTTTAAGACTGTTTGCTTTAGGGCTTTTTCTTTTGAAATGCCTTAATAGATTAGGGATTTACAGAGCTAAAAAAATTTTCATGGAGATTAGATAATCTGAACTTCTCTTGTTCCCCATTTTATAGTTATGAGTAAGTCCTTAGACTAGGGGCATTGTCCAAGTTTAGTTAGTTTTGTTAATTTTGGTGCTAGACTATAACCCACAGTTCTGTTTCATGGTCATGTATTAGTTCTAATATAATGTGGTTTTTGGAACCAGAGAGTTTATATTAATAGCAATCAACCTTCAGATAAAAGGGATATACTTATATGTACCTATCTGTGCCCTAGATTATGTGGGACAGATATTCTTTTACTCATGCACTGAAATTTATCAGATCCCTACCATGTAAATTAAGTCATGTTAAAGCACTTATAACAGTACCTGGTGCATAGTAAGCACTTTGCTCTGGTGATGGTGTTCCAGGAATTAGGATGGGCAGGCTTGATGATGGTGTAATGGTGAGCAAGGTGGCCATGATTTTTGCTAGTATGGGGATTACATTCCAACTGTGAGAAGAGTGTGGGTTGGGTGATGCTCTCTCTCTCTTTCTCTTTTTTTTTCTTGAGATTTCCTTTTTTTTATTGTTGTTCAAAACATTACATAGTTCTTGATATATCATGTTTCACA